GCCACTGCAGCCTCGACCTGCTGGGCTCCGGCGATCCTTCCGCCTCAGCCTTCCAGGTAGCTAGAACTACAGGCGTACACTACCACGCCCAGCTAATTTTTGATTTTTTGTAGAGATGTGGTCTTGCCAAGTTGCCCAGGCGGGTCTCAAACCTGCGGGCTCGGGCAATCCACTCACCTCAGCCTCCCAAAGCACTGGGATTACAGACTGAGCCACCGAGCCCGGCTGTTTTCTTAAATTTCTTATGTTTAAACCAATGATACATTGATAATTTTAAGAGCAGTTGTTACCTAACTTGAAAATAGCATTTATCAATAGAAAATTAAGGGAAAAGTAGCCAAACCTTAAAAGAATCACTAAACTATATGTATCCTAATGTGTTATGTTAGACATTCAGGCGATAGTGTACATTTCTCACAGTGTGATAGGTGCACATACTGAGAAGATGTCACTGTGCTTTGCCTGACATTTAGCTGACTATGATGTGCATGTGCGTTTACTGAGTACACATACCAGGAGCAGCTACATGTAGCACTGGATAGAGGGTTAGTGATTTCAAATTTAGAATATAATATTTGATTGCATATTATTTTTAAAACTAGTTTAAAAATTATTCTATTTAAAATGTAATCCTGATCAAATGCAGAACCTCTGAATCACCCCTGGAATATGGTCTGCTCTAGAAATGTTGGCTAATAACTGGGTGTTTGACATAATAGAACAGGACTTTGTTTTTATGGAATAGACATGCCATAAGTACTTGCTAATATATCTTAAATATTTTATAAGTACTTGCTAACATATCGTAAATATTTTATAAATACTTCATTAAATATTTTTTTGTCTTTTTTTTTAGTCTCATTCTGTCACCCAGGCTGGAGTGCAGTGGCATACTCACGGCCACCGCAGCCTCGACTTGCTGGGGTCAGGCAATCCTTCCACCTCAGCCTTCCGGTTAGCTGGAACTACAGACATGTGCCACCACGCCTGGCTAATTTTTTTTTTAATTGTAGAGACAAGGTCTTACCATGTTGTCCAGGCTGGTTTCGAACCCATGGGCTCAGGCAGTCCTCTTGCCTCAACCTCCCAAAGTGTTAGGATTACAGGCGTGAGCCACTGTGCCTGGGAATATGTTTTTAATATAAATAAATGTTTCGTTAAGTATTTTATTTTTATAAACATTTACATTTTAAATATCTCACCCTGTGTCAAAAAATATGTTAAATATATTTACCAAGTAAAATGAGCTAATTATATTAAGTATAAAATATCTCAAATATTTTATATCTGAAAGTAGTCCTCCATAATATTAATAGAAAAATGCAAAGTTAGTAAGACCATGCCCTGGTGTTTATTCTTGCCTGAAAAAGTTAACCTTTTTCTTGTTCACAGGCTAAAAGGTCAGATTCCTGAAATTAAACAGACTTTGGAAATTCTAAAATACATGCAGAAGAAAAAAGTAAGTGCATTTTTGTTTATAAATATGAGTGAACTAGAATACATTGACTGAGGCTCATCTCCTTTGGCCCATTGGTCACTGGTATTTGATCTGTGCTGAAGCATCTAGTCTGCCTTTCTGAGCACACACACTAATGTTACAGACAGTGACAATGTGCTTCTATAATAAAAGTGACTTTGTGGCCTTCCCCCAAAAGTCAGGTTTAATTTTAGGGCCCACACTTGGATTACTTTACTTTTATTTAGTGTTTGCAAAACTTAAATGCAGTTAGAAATTGTTTTAGGTACAAAAAGAAAATGTCTTATTTTGAAGTAGCAGCATCTAAGGATTTTTTGTTGTTGTTTTCCCTAAGAATAAGAAGTGAGTCCGTGATTTATAGAGATGGAAAATTATCTTGTCTGATTTTACTATCTTGCTCCTCCCAGTCCTTAGAAGTTGTCTGTTTTGGGTTCTCAGTTCATAGTTGAGGAAATAATTAGAGAAGTTACACTTGGCCAGTGTCCATGTAGCCAGTTACTAGCAGAACTAAATTTGAGAGTCTTGTAAATCTTAACCAGTGCTCATTAAAAAGAAAAGCAGATTGTAAAAATCACATCTTATAAGCATATTGTATTTAAAATATTGTTTGTATATACATGATTTATTACTTGACTGGTGGAATAGCTACATTTCTAGTACATATTATATATGGTGAACTTTGTAAGAGACTTCAGAAACTGATTGGTTGGGCATGAAGCACCGTGGAATAATAATTATAGTTAAGTCTTGTATAGCACTTTCTCTGTGTGCCAGGCATGTGTGTGTGTGTGTGTGTGTGTGTGTGTGTGTGTGTGTGTGTGTATAAATGAACTCAGTGCTTGCTATTGCCTTTGTAGGTGTATGAACTATTATCCTCATTTTACAAATGAAGAACCTGAGACAGAGATTAAGTGAGGTGCCAAATTTATACAGCTGCTAAATAGCTGAGCCAGTGTCCATTCCCAGCCATCTGGCTCTAGCTTTCATTTATTTTAACATGACACTTAGTGTGCATGATGGTACTGTTGTAAATGTCTTAGGTTCAACTGTGCAGTTTCTCCTTTATTGCCTTGATATGAAATTGACCTGTTTATGGTACTGTCATTTTTTTGAAGGAGTCCACCAACTCACTGGAGACCAGATTCTTACTGGCAGATAACCTGTACTGTAAAGCTTCGGTTCCTCCTACTGATAAAGTGTGTCTGTGGTTGGGGGTAAGTAAATGTTATGGCCACAGCTGACGTACTTGTAAACCAGTGTGTTTTCCTCAGCAAAATCATATTGTTCAAGATGTGTAAAGTGTTCATCTCCCTTTGTTTGTAGAAGGAACAAAGGAGCAGAGTTCAAGTGGTTCATATTAGAAACTGACTGGAATAAGGAGTGTGATGAAGATTGCAGCAACACATGTTGAAGTTTCTTCCAGTCAAGATAAAGCCTACCAAACCCTACTTTCAGCTAATGCGTTCTCTCTCTTAAATGTAGTGGATGAAGAGCAATAGAAGTAAAATAGAAAGTACTGCTGAACTTCAGATAAATGTTTCTTCCTCATAAGAGTTTAATAATTCTAGGAAAAGCCCTCTAAATTTAAAGGGGGAAAGATTATTACAAAAAACTTGAGGTTTATTTTATTAAGCCATATATTTCAATTTTGATAATTTTATAGATCTTGTCAAGATTTTACTATTTTGCTCCTCCCAGTCCTCTGACTACCTAGCTAGCTGTTGTCCATGGATCTGTTATCTCAGGCCAGTTCCCAATACAAAATAGCAAGCCAAGTGTACTTCTCCCAGCTCTCTCCACTGATTGTCTCAGTGTTGAATGATTTTCTATATTCAGTTTTTTTGTAGAAGTTACATGACCTTTTAAATCACAAATTTAAGTGTTATTTCAAGAAAGTTAATTTCTGTTGTGTATTTGGATGTGATTTTTGTCCCATTGCTTTTATTCTCTTTTTTGGGAATAAAAAATATGCATATGTTGGATCTCTTTTGTCTGTTTCAATACTTACCGTGTTATCCGTTTTTACATATTTGATCTGTTTCTGTTTGTGTGATATCCTCTGGCCTCTTCCCCATTGCTTTGTTTCCCCTTAAGGTTACTCTGTTTTGTTGTGTTCATAACTTTGTCTTATATAACTATTTTTCTCTTTCTCTTCATTTTCTTTCTGAACTCTTTCTTGTCTGTCAGCATCCTTTTGTGTCACTCTATCTTGTACTACTTTTCTTCAGAGCACTTAGCACTCCCTGGTAGTTATCAATTGGTGTGTTTACCAGTTGCCTGGCACACATTAAGTGCTCAGTAAAAAATTGTTCTTGGATGAGTGAAATTTTTGCTGTTATTTTATCAGAGTTCATATATGCCAATGGTTAAAAGAGCAAATAGAATAGGAATTTTACAATAGGAAGCAGCAAGCTACTGTTCCATCCCCAGATGCAGCCACTTTGAATCATGTCTGTACATCTATATGTACATAATATTGTAATATGTACATAAATATTGGAGGTTTTTTGTTAATTGTTTTTATAAAAATGGGAATATATTGCACATATTGTTTAGCACCTCACTTTTCACTAAATATCACAGTTATCTTTCCTTTTGAGTAGACACAGTTTCCCTCCTTGGTTTATTGGCTTCTTAATATTCTGTGGTAGGGCTGTATGATAATATTCCCAAATCAAGGGGTATTTAGATTGTTTTCAAATTTCTTTTAGAATGAGCAGTGCTGTAGTAACTATCTTTGCACATATAGACTTGTACACAAGGGCATTTTTTTATGCTTTAAAGTGAAATAGTTGGGTCTAAGAGTATGCACATTTAACATTTTGATAGTTACTACAAAATTACTCTCCAAAAAAGATTGTGCCAATTTACATTTTCTCTAACGGTATATAAAAATATTCTTTTATTGACGGCCTCACCCACATCTTTCAATTTTTGCTAGTTTTATAGGTGAAAATGGTATCTCTGTTTTTTTGTTTGGCAAGATGCTAATTTGTATTCCTCTTCTGTTTGCCTTCCTAATTATGTTGTTGGCTATTTTTTGAGTTTTTTTTAAAAATAGATGTTTAGGTTGTCTTTATAAATGTATGCTTCTGTTACATATTATAAACACTTTTTTCTGTCACTTGTCATTTGTTTATGGTTTCTCTTATAGAGAACTTTTCAATTTTAATTTAATTAATTTTATCAGATATTTATAATTTTACTTAACCATGCACTCCTTTCACCAAATCTGTAAATATTTTTTTCTAATATTGATATACTTAAAACATTTTTTAATTTAAGGAAGGATAACATTAGAAATATAAAGAACTCAGTAGAATAATGGGTGACTTCCAAAAAGAGGATATCACAGTGGCCAATAAATATATGAAAAATTGTTCAACTTCATTAGTCAGCAGAGAAATGCAAATTAAAAGTGCAGTATGAGCTCACTGTGCACCCACCAGAATGGCAGAGCGATACTAAGTGACAGTAGGACATGGAACAGTAAGCACTCGGATTCACTGCTGGTGAAGATATTGATGAATACAGTCACTGGGGAAACTGTTTGGTGGTACCTATTAAAGCAGAATGTATGCATTCCCTACTCCATAGCATTTCCATGCCTATCTCTGTCTCTTTCTACCTCTTGCTATATATAACAAAAATGTGTAAAAATATTCACCAAAAGAGAGGTATAAGAATGTTCATATAAAAAAAAAAAAATGTTCATATCGGCAGTGTTTGTAGTAGCCAAAACCTGGGAAAAACCCAAATGTCCATCATAGTTGAATGGATGATTAAATCATGGTGCATCCAGACAGTGGAATATTATAGTGTGGAGGAGGCATGAACTGCTCAACAAGGGTGAGTCTCAGAAACACAAAGTTGAGTGAAAGAAGCTGTCTTACCTTTCTATAGCTGCATAACAAGTTACCACAAACCCAGAGGTTTAAAAGGATGCCCATTTATTATCTCCTGGCTATGTAGGTCAGAAGTCTAGATTGGTTTGACTGAGTCCTCTGCTCAGGGTAAAGCCAGAATTAAAGTGTCAAAAGGGCTGTGCTCCTTACTAGCAGCCCTGAGGCAGAATTAGATTCCTAGCCTCATCCGTGTTGTTGACAGAATCCAGTTCTGTGTGGTTGAGATCTCTGTTTCGTTCCCTGTTGGCCAAGAGTCAATCTCAGCTTTTAGAGGCCACCTGCAATCTTTGGCTTGTGGCCCTTTCTATTTCAAAGCCAGCAGTGGCATGACTAATATTTCTTAAACTTCATGTCTTCTAACTTCTGCCACCTACCAGATAAAGTTCTCTACTCTTAAGGGCTCATGTAATTACATTAGGCTTACTCAGGTAATCTCTGTATATTAAAGTCAACTCTGGCAAATGACACATACCTTATCAGAGGCACAAGTTCCAGGGATTAGGGTGGAACACTGTGCTCAGGAAACCATAATTCTACATACTACAGAAGTCACAAAAGAGCACATATTGTGTGATTTCATTTTATGTAAAGTTCAAATACAGGCAAAACAATGCTATTAGGAGTCAGGATAATGGTTACCTTTGCGGTGGGGGTGCTGGTGGTAACTAGAAGGGTTCACAAGGAGGCTTCTGGGGTGTTGGTGATGGTCTGTTCCTTGTTCTGGATGCTAGTACCATTGGGTTTGTTAAATTTGTGAGACTATATCAAGCTGTTTATGATATGAGTACTTTTCTATATGTATGTAATAATAAATATTTTAAAACCCCAGAAAACCGCATAAAACAAATTACAAGTTAATGAATCTGTTAATCAGTCAAGGTTCAACCAAAAAAACAGAACCAGTAGGATATAGCTAGCCTATATAAACTTGAGTAAAAAGATGCAAATTAATATGTGTATATATATATGTGTGTACTACCTCATGAGTTTATACTATTACCTCCAATTCAAGTTCAGGACAACAGTTTTTACTTTACTTGTTTCCTGTTTCTTCTTTCTTGTATACCAAAAATCCTGGTTCTTAAAAATACCAGGGGTGATAGAATTACACTAAACACCATTACTCATCTTATTCTTTATCACACACAAAGCATTCTTAGAGTAACACCACTCAACACTGTTACCACTGCCGTTTTTGCATATTCTCTTCCTGTCCTTTCCCATTCTGTATATGTATGAAGTTGTTCCCATGTAGTTCCCGTTATGTACTCTGCTCGCTCCCACGTACACACTGTCTCCCTGCCCCCCTCCCCCTCTCCTCTTCCAGTTTAGTTATCATTTCTGAAGTACATTTTTCTTTCATTCCTAATTCTTTCCTGAATTCTGTCACTTTATTTCTGAGTTTTCTAATTCTAATTCATATCGTCTTCTTAATGTTATTTTGTTTTGAAGTATAGTATAATTTTCGTGTTTTGTGAACACGTCTTTCTGTTTTACTTAAATTATCTGTAAAGATAGTATTTTGTTCCTTATTCTCTTTTTATTCTTAGAACTTTTCATTGAATTTGACTTTGATCTATTTCTATGGCCATTTTGATGTAAATTAATTTTTCTGGACTTTTAAAAGAGAGGACTGATCATAGAGCTCCCTTTTGGTTGTTTATGTAAAATGGTAAAAACATATAGCAGCTGGCATCCCTGGCCCTGCTCACACCATCACTCTCCCCCTTCCCTTTACTTTTTGTAACTGTTCTTCCTATCCTAATGTCCTATTGTCCCTGTCCCTATTTGGATTCTGTTCCTAGCAGATCCTCCTCAGTGTGGGACCCTATGGTGTAAGGAAGTTCTAAGGCTAGTTGTAAGTTTGTGGTATAAGTAAGTATAAAGCTAGTCATAAGTTTGTGGTACCTAGATTTCTCCCAGGCCCAGCTGCTCTGGGATCATACAAGCCCCTCTCAGTTTAGCTGCTATCCTCCAGTTAGTTTGATGATCTTTCACATAGCTACTACCTATGGTTATTTTAGAGTTTTCACATCTGCTCTATGCCTTGTTGCTTCCTTCTGCTTATATACAAATGCTCATATCATGTAGGTCTTCTACCTGACAATGGCCTGTTCTCACTTGCTGATATGTGGTTTTGTGGGGATACCTAGTTAGCTTTTTATAGATATTGTTTGCTTTTCTGGTTTTGCTGTCCTAGTTTTTTTTTTTATTATAAAGATGTGGGGTACAATTCAGGATTAGGTATACAAACATAGATTATGCAGGTACCCTTGTTGATAAGGTATGCCCCTCCCTCCCCTAGCAGT